TGCTTGTGATTTAAAATTACGCTCTTGAGGATCCAGGATTTCTTGACTCAACACTTGACATTTTGAGCTGCATAATTTGTTGTGAGGGCCTGCCCTGTGCGTTTGGAGATGTTTGGCAGTATATCTGTCCAGTACCCACTAGGTGGCAGTATCACCACCACTCATATCAATTGTGACCGCCAAAAATGTCTCCAGATTTGCTGAAATGTCTTCTGGGCGACAGAATCACCCAAGGTTGAAAATCACAGCTTTAAGAAACGGTTAATATAAGGAACTACATATACATATAAGAATGGTTTGTGTTACTAAACAAACAACAAAAATTATTGGTACTTGTATGTTTTAATACTTTTTAATATTTTCTTGAAAATGTATCTAAAAGTTTGTATTTCTAGATGAACTGTCCTTTTTAGTAGCTGGAATCTATCATGCTTCTGTTTTTTTCATTGGCTGCTAGGAAACTCAGCTAAGTTTGCATTGGTTACAGTGACTTTACTAGGTTTCTGGGATTTTCTTAGTTACTTGGCTGTTCTTTTATCCCTGATATTGTATCTAAATGCCTTATTATGAACTATTGAAAACTCTTGATGAGAACAGATGTACATTTTAGGTTATAAAAAGTCCTATTCATTTTAAAAGGCTATTTAATAGATAATGGTAAGTTAGCAAATTGAGTTTGCTAGAATAGAGGAATTGTTTTTCTTGCAAATAAACTATTAGTAATACCTTCAAATAAGAGCCAAAAATGGTGTAGTTTGAGATTAAAAGGTTAAGGAACAGTAGTAAATAAAATGAGTAATAAATAGTGAAATATGAATTGGAAATTAGGCTTGGAGAGTATTACTTAGGCAGTTTCACAGTCTAATTCTTATAGATATAGGTGGGGTGAAGAAATTTTTCTTGCATTTTAGAATTTTTATAGTGTATTATATTAGTACATATTATATTATTCATATAACACCATTATTATCACTATTATAGTGTGTATATATGTGTATATATAGTGTGCGTATGTGTATAGTGTATGTATATATGTATATATGTGGTGTGTGTATATATACACATATATATACACACACATATATATTACTTATAGTATATTGTAGGTAATGTTACATAGAACTGTTATCCTGGGAGATATTACATGGGAGAAGTATGATTTAACTTCAGAGAAGAGATACACATACTGGTTAAGAGCATGGTTGTAAAGTTGTCATCATTTACTAAGTGTGCAACACTAGGTAAGATTCTTAATGCATATAAACCTTAAATTTTCTTACCTGTAAAGTTGATGATAGCATTACCTGTTTCATAGGATTTGGGAGAATAAATAATAGAAAGCTCTTAGCTTAGTATTTGGTCTTTACTAAGTTCTCATTAACTGTTAGCTGTCATTTTTAACCTTTATTTAAAATAATTCAGGGACACCTGGGTGGCTCAGGGGTTGAGCGTCTGCCTTCGGCTCAGGCATGATTCTGGAATCTGGATCAAGTCCCACATCCGGTTCCCTGCAGGGAGTCTGCTTCTTCCTCTGCCTGTGTCTCTGCCTCTCTCTCTCTCTCTCTCTCTCTCATGAATAAATAAATAAATCTCTTTAAAAAGCTCATAGATTAGTGATATGATTTTTAGAGCTTTAGTGTATTGGTTTGTGTTTGAGGATGTGATTATATATGTGTGTATGTATGTGTACAGAATTTTTTAAAAAATATGTAATCCTTAATTTTTCACTGATTAATTAAAACTTAATGTTCTCTTTTTAGTTGTGTCTCAAGATATTTTTTGACCAGTAACTTAAGATACAACGAAGTATTAACCATCTCACTGGAGCAAAGAATTACAATAATATAAAACATGGTGATTTGGGAATATTTCACATAGTTTAAAATATAGGACATTGTTTCCATAGAATATCTGTTAGGTATAAAACAAAATGGAAGGAAATAATGTTGTGATGAACATTTGTTATATGTCTTCTTAAAAACATATAAACTTTATATGTCTTCTTAAAAACATGTAAACATATAAACTTTTATAAAACATATTGTAGACAATTAAGACATTAGGATCTTTTTTTTTAAGACATTAGGATCTTTATGTAATACCACACTTTGTAGTGTATCTTAGCATCAAAATGATTTATGTAAAAGATGATGAATAACTTTTAAGCCATACAGTAATGTATTATCTCATTTGCAGAAAATGGTTATAATAGACTCATTTTGTAATCTTCCTCTGTAGTACAGATTTTTAGAACTTATTTTGGGGTAACCTTTTGAGATTCAGCTTTCATTTCCATTACTGTCTCAAGGGATAATAGATATTTGCCAGTGTAGCATATTTCATTGTTGTAAAGAAAATAATATTATTCTTAAACAATCAGAGTTGAAGTCTTAATTTTTTTTAAATGGGTAAAGCTTCAAGGAAAAAGATGAAAAACATCATGTGTTAGTAATGCTGTCCTTCTCCATTCTCTATGGTTTTAGGCTTGATCCTGAATGATGTTGAAGATCCTCAGAGGAGGGAAGTGACAGAGTATAAAAGAAGGGTAGTAATTGAGCTCTTTGGGATTGAAACTGCTGACAGTCCCAAAAGATAAAGCACAAGAGGCATGGTCTTTTCTATCTAGGGCTTAAGCTAGAATTACTTTCCTTCTTTAGGGCAAAGCTTAGAATTTTTCTGTTATTGTATCCTTTTGGATTTTCCCCAGCTATTATGTTTTTGCTTTCTTCCTCTTTTACTTTAAATTTTGGTTCCAATGCATATTATATGCATTAGTTTTATAGTTAACCTTCTGTAAGACAAGAGAACTTTAATCAGTGTTGGAGAAGAGAATCAAGGCACGACCTTTATCTACTAAAAATGAATTATAAGAATGTCTAATCATTCTGCCTATTAAAATTTACACGATAGTATTCAATACTTTATTATATGGAAAATATATTTTAAAAATTATAAACTCAAACTGGTTTTATTTATTTATTTAGAATGAGAGAGTGCAAGTGCACATGTGTGTGCACGAGTTGGGGTGGCAAGAGGGGAGAGAGAGAATTTTAAGTAGGCTCCATGCTCAGCACTGGTCCAACCAGGAGCTTGATCTCCCAACCCTGAGATCAAGGCCTAAGCTGATACCAGACAGCTGATATCACCCAGCTTAATAACTCTGAACCACTCAGGCACCCCTTACACAGGCTTTAAAGCCTCAATTAAACTAGTTTCAAACTTGTGTTTTGTCTGGTTCCCAGTTGATTATCTTGATCTTCGCATTCCTTAGCTACAAATTTGAAAATTAGGATCCTTCTGGTAGTGAGGTTCACGTGAAATAAATGTGAAAGTGAGTCTGGTAGTGTTAAGTGGATTGAGTTATTAAGTTCTCTTCCCTTCCATTCTCTACTGAGCCCTCTTATCCCAACTATTAAGAGTTTTTATCCTTGTTGAAAGAAAAGTCCTAGAGTAACCTTTGAAAGCTTTATATTTAGGATAAAATTAGAAGCAAAAATGAATTTGAAATGAAGTAGAAGACCAAAAGAAGGCAAATAGAAAAAGAGCTCTGATAAAATAGACAATACAGTTCTTCAAATTGGAAGAGAGTTAAATTCTTTCTGCTTGTGTTGTTGCTGCTCTTACAGGCCAGTAATATGTTTAAAGAGGTGGTCAAAGGGGCGCCTGGGTGGCTCAGTTGGTTAAGCGTCTGCCTTCAGCTCAAATCATGATCTCAGGGTCCTGGGATGGAGCCCTCATCCAGCTCCCTGCTAAGTGGGGAGTCTGCTTTTCCCTCTTCTTCTCCTGCCCCTTCCACCCCTCCCCCATTCATGCTCGCTTGTGAGCTCTTTCTCTCCTCCCCACCCAAATGAATAAATAAAATTTTAAAAAGAGGTGAGCATGTTTTGTTTTTAATTATTTAAACAATGAACTTTTGGCTCATCTGTGTAATTTTGCCTGTAAAAGTTTTCTCGGCCCTCTAATCCTTTTTGTAGTTAAATTGTCCGTAAGTCAGTAAATGAGGAATACATAGCTATTTAAGCAGTAAACTAGAGGATAACTCATACTTACTTCTGAGACAGTAACGGTTATAACGATAGAATGGTGAGTTCTCCATACCATAACTTGACCCAGTGAACCTCTGAGGAGTTCTTTACATTGTTAGATGGCAACACAGAACTTTATGGCCATTGTTGATTATTTCATGTGATATATTTTACTATTCCATTATGATTCTGTAGCCATGGTAGGCAACTTCAGCATTGCTTGCTTTGGAAACCATAGTTCTGATAGTTGAGTCTGTGGCTTATTAAGTTTTCTACCTAGGTATTTTTGATTGAGTGTGTGTTAGAACTTACTAAGAGGGCGCTACAGTCCTTTGATTTCAGGAAGCTTTTTTCATTTATAAATCTTACTGTTGGAAAAGCGAAAGAAGACCCTTTAAATTTTTGTTCTAAAATTAAAGTTTATGAAATTCAACTCATGTAAGTATATTTATAAATGTGTAGTTTCCCTGTCAACCATTATATAATGAAATGAGTGGGCATTGAAAAAGGGAGAAAAAAATGGGTGTTCAGAAATTAGATTTCTTTCCGTTGGTTTGACTGCTGATTTGCTGTGTGATTCTGTGAAGTGTACTTTGTTTTAGTGTATTTTCTTATATACCTTAAAGATTCTCTTTTTCCGAGAATTGTGTGGATAAATATTATATAGTATATAATAAAAAAATACATACATCCAAGATTTTCATATATTGTATTCACTTTGCATTTTGAAAAAGTCACTAGGACACTCCTCCAGTAGATTTTAAATCAACTACAGTGGGTTAGTTGTTTTCCCTTGTTTGCAGATTATATTCGGCATGTAACCTTCAATTGAAAGACTTGTTTTTATTACTTGAAGACAGTTTTTATTATAATACATTATATATTTTGGAGATTGTATGATAAAAGGTTTTTACATTTCTCTTGTTAAAATTATATACAGAAAAATTGTGTGCATAATGTTTTGTCTCTTTTCAGGTCCAATGATGCATCAGCAGCCTCCTTCTCAACAATACAATATGCCACAGGGAGGTGGGCAGCATTATCAAGGCCAGCAGCCCCCCATGGGAATGATGGGTCAAGTTAACCAAGGCAATCATATGATGGGTCAGAGACAGATTCCTCCTTATAGACCACCTCAACAGGGTAAGATTACATGTGGGAAATTTCCTGCTTATTATAAATGACAGTAGTTGAAAGGCTTTATTTTAATAAACTCTTTATATAGGCAGAGTCAAGGCTTTTTGTTTCTTGACTTTTATGATGATTTTTACATATTTTTTTCTAAAAGTTAGTGGATATAGTAGGTACATAGTGTATAGGAACTTCCTGTTACACAGCTTTCTTTTATCTATTTTTTTCTGGGAAAAAGGTTAATATCCTAAAATTTGATAACAAAAGCTCACTAATAGCAGAAGATGGTATTTTAATTTTGAGAAGTTACTGAATATAAGATGAGAAACAAACCCTATTTTATTCCAAACTACTCTAATAGCAGAAAGAAAATTTTCTACTAGTTTGAACCTCTTTTTAAGGAGTTAGTATTTGTTCTTTTAAGTTGATCTTGTTAGATACTGCATGTATGGTCATAACAGTTTTTGTGAAATGTGGTTGTATGATGTTGCTGTGTGTTTGTGTATCTGTGTATGTAATTAAGAATAGTTAAAAGTATCTCAAATGCCAGTGCATGGGAGGGGAGTCTACAGGAGAGAAATAATTTCTCTTAATAACAGATTAGAGAACAAATTATTTACCTCTTGACTGGTTGTGGTTTTTCAGGCCCACCACAGCAGTACTCAGGCCAGGAAGACTATTATGGGGACCAATACAGTCATGGTGGACAAGGTCCTCCAGAAGGCATGAACCAGCAATATTACCCTGATGGTAATCTCTCCTAATGTTAATTTTCCTGTTGCCTATCTGTGCCCAATATTAATGTAGATAGCTGTTCAAGACATTTTAATGAGGATGAAGAAACTCACAGTATGTTTCTTCTAAATTTAGAAACACTTTTTAAAACATCAGTGGTCGCATTAGTTTATAATCCATTTCAAAGTATATTTGGTTTAGATAGTCTGTATTAGTACCATCAGGAATTATTCTGTCACTGGAATCCTTTCTTACATAAAAGAGGATCCTCTTACATTTGGAATTGTTCATTTGAACCAAAGCAGTTCTAACTGATACACTTTTTTTAAATAACCACTTTATTGAGATAATTCACATACTGTAAAGTTCACCCATTGGTTTACTTTTATGCATGGTATAAATACACAGAAGATCTAGTTCTTGAGTATTTTTCCAAGTTTCATCATTTTTAGTTAACGTTGAGTACTTCTCAAAGAACTGTGGTTTGTGTATATTATCATTCGTATCTGAAAAATTTTGGAGGTTAAATTATATGATATAGCTGTGTTTAAAGTTGAGAGAATAGGAAAAGCATTTGGAAATCAGATTTTAATTATTTAGTTTAATGAGTTTGGTGGGAAGGTGGTATATGAAAAAGTTGGTCATTAAAGATATATTGCACTTGGAAGTGATGCAAGCATAAGTAGGCTTTCACTATACAGTTCTTCCAGTTTTTCTGTGTGTTTGAAAATTTCATGATACTTTGTTGAGGAAAAAATAATCCAAACATATAAAACTATGATAAATTACAGGTAGCTATTCACATTGCAATATGATTTGTTTTGTTATGAAAGGATTTGTCAAAATCTTCATTTATCCAGTAAGCTCCCTTGGTATATTTAAGGTAAACTACTTAACAGAGAAACTCAGAGAAACAAAAAATTAAAAGCTAAAGTGTTGGGACTATCCTCTCAAAGCTAATGTGAACTAGTAAGAAGATATAATTTGGTGAATTTAAAAAGTATTTTAGCCTGCCATTTTTTGTTAATGTATAAAGCATAAAGGTATATCAGTATAAAGACAGTGGTTTTTACTGCAGAGACTCTGCCTGTATAGGCAGAGCAAACACTCATCTGTAGAATTTTGTTTATCATAAATGTTTGTTATAATAGTGGTGATATGTATGGATGTTTCTTGTTAAGAAATGATATATTTTTTTAAATCTCAGGTTTTCTTGCCCTGAATTAATTCAGAATTTTGGAGTTTTTTTTCTTTTTTCTTTCATATGTAGACATTAAAATTTTTTTTAACGAAAAAATTTAGTATGTTTATAGACTATGGATATTTTAAAGAAGTGAAATCTAGTTTGTCAAATTTTATGTATTAGGAACTCAAAGTAAATGTTTTGCTTAATTTTTAAAATACATTTTACATAATTGAGTTGAATTTGACACTGTTTTGGTCTTGAGTATTTTTCTGAAATGTAAATATGACCTTTCTATTCAAAATAGATGTTATTTTTGTTAGACATCAAAACTTTAAGATTATATAAATTATTTATTACATCAGGGGATTTAAAAATCTATCATTTTTGCATAGGTGTGTATTAATATGTTTTTCTGATATGTATGTAGAATATCCCATGTATAACAATAATTTGCTTAAATAGCATTGAATATTTTCTTACTATTATTCAGATATTTATGCCAATAAATATATAGATTAGGAGTTGGCAAACTTTTTTCACTAAAGAGCCAGAGAGTAAATATTTTAGTTCTTTGCAGGCCATATCAACTACTGAATCCTTTCTGTAGCATGAAAACAGGTAGAGAAAATGCGAATGGGCATACCTGTGTTCCAGTAAAACTTTATTTACAAAAGCAGGGCACTGGCCATATTTATGCTGCAGGCCATAGTTTGCCAACCCCTCATGTGGCTATTTATGAGGTGGTTTGGGAACGTTGAAATCGTAGAACACTGAATATAACATTGATTCATAACTGTATTGCTCTTCTTAATTAGGCATTCTTTTAAAATTTAGATTTTAGCTAACTGAAGCATTATTTCCTGCATTTTCTTGGTGTGTAACTTTAGTTAAAAGAAATAGACTATTGATTTTCATTAAAGTCCAGTCATAAAATTTATTGAGCCTTAAAACTTAAAGGTGTACCCTGGCACTAAACACAGTATTAATTTTTTGAAGGTGTGTTTATGGTACTCTAGAAATATTTTCTAAAGGCGTCTAGAATGGCAGCATTAAGCAATATTATTCTTGCATCTGAAAATGCTTTTTATAAGATACATATACGTTATGCTAGTAAATAGAATGTGAAAAATTTGTTTCAGTTTCTTTCAGGGGAAAAAAACTTATGGAGCTTTTTTATACTTTGCATTGTTTTAGCATATGCTGTGGAATTGGCGACCAGCAGAACAGGTGTTTGACAAAATATGATAATTGCTTCCTTTGTTCATTCTAATTTAATTCAAGTTATTTACATGTGAAAGGCCTAAATGCTTTCTTTCTCTTTTTTTGAAAAAAATTGAAGATGAAGTTTTTTTTCCCCCCCATGTTGAGGATTATCAGTTAAGACTAAGTGTAATGTTTCTAAAACTACTGTTTTTTGCTTTTAAAAAATTTGCACGTTATATCTCAATATGAAAACAATCACATTGGTAAATATTTGGCTAATGCATTTGAAATTATTTTTTATGTATTTCCATTTCTTTTTCTTTTTTTCAATTTTATCTGAAAGTTTAAATATATTTAGGGTTTTCACTCAGTGGCCATTAACGTTTCTTCCTGTCTCTTGTCGAATTGATGTAGGTCATAATGATTACGGTTATCAGCAACCGTCGTATCCTGAACAAGGCTACGATAGGCCTTATGAGGATTCCTCACAACATTACTACGAAGGAGGTATCTATATACCTTCACACACATACACATATATATCCCCTTCTACAGGAATGCAAATTTTGCATAAGACAACTTCTACCCATGCAAAGCTCTCGTAGAATACTAGTTGCTGGCTGTCTTGAAAGTTACAGGGAGCCCAGAACAACCAAAATAATTTCCTTACAAATATTTAAAATGTATAACCATGACTTGCCATTTCTAACAACAATAAAAAGACTAAAACATTTAAAAATAATTTTTTCCTCAGTGGAAATTTTCTATTTGAACATAAATCCATCAATCCAATTTTTTTTCTTGTGTGTGTTTACATATGTATAATTTTACATATAAGTATAGTGCCTTTAGGAAACAGCTTGCTGATCTTGTGTAGCTAGTGTGTGCTCTTGTAGCTGTCTTTAATTTTGTCTTTTTTATTTTATTTAGCATAGTCATGATCTTATGACTGTGATGTTCCAGTAAATGTAATGCTCGTATGGCAGAGACGCTGAAAATGCTGCAGTTCAACCTTGCAAAATTGGCTTTAACTGCAGTTTGTTTGGCCGAAATCCTTCTGTTTGGTTTGAGTTTTTTCTTTGTTTTGTTAACTTTCAAAAAATCAATATGGCATTTCATTTTGTTCTTGTGTTGTTGGCTATGCATCTTAGAGTAAAAAAGTTAATTAAGCGAACTTCTCAGTTGTTTTTTTTTTTTCTCTTCTCCAATTATCCTGTAGGAAATTCACAATATGGCCAACAGCAAGATGCCTACCAAGGACCACCTCCCCAACAGGGATATCCACCCCAGCAGCAGCAGTACCCAGGGCAGCAGGGCTATCCAGGACAACAGCAGGGCTATGGTAATAGCTTTTTGCAGTTTATTTTTGTCACAAAAAATGTGATGATTGCTGTTTTGAAATATTGAAGCAAATATTTAATGTTTATTTTTCTAAGAATTCTTATTTTTGAAAATTCACAATTTTAGCTCAGTCTATTACTGGAATATTTCTTTTAAAGAAATATTTTTTTTGCTCAGAGAAACGAGTAATCCATTTAAAAAGAAACAAACTAGAGATGGTTCATTGACCAAAGGTAAGGTATGTAGTCATTTAAAATGAGTTCTTAAATGAATTCTTAAACCTCTTTGGCATTCATGACCACCCAGTAGCTTTGTATGTGCTTGGAAAACTGATGAATTGGTTGATTATTAACCATATCTACATTATCCACTTAGCAAATTTATTTCTAATGACTGTTACTATGAAAAATAGCATTGATTTTTAGAGTACAAATGAGATTTATTTGGAATGCATAAAGAAAATGTTTTTGTCATTCTTTGGTTAAATAGTAATATACATATACATAGAGATATATTTATATATTTACAGAGTTTGGGGGAAATGTAGCCATATTTTCTTATTGTATACTCACTATAAGATCTAGTGGCTGGATATCTTGCTTTAAATAACTTTATTAGATAGGGAGTGGGGAATGATAAAGACCTGGTATCTCATTCTTAAATATTAAGCTACTGTTACTACTTTATATATAGGAAAATATGTTTCTAATGTTAGAGACATCTTCTCTTGCTAGCATGGTCTCTTTTTTACATCAGTAATGTCTTATTATTTTTAGTCATTACTTTAAGCTCTGCGATTAGTATGGGCACCTCTAGCCACCCATCATTGCAAATCTAAGAACCAGGATCAGCTGAAGTTCTCTTGTGCCTTCAATATATGCATTGAAATTTAGTCATGTATTGGGAGCCAGGCATTTTCCCCCAAACTGATAATTGTGGTTCCCTGATTTGAGATAAGACTTTAGAAATATTCAGTGGATTTCTTGTTTTTACAAGAGGACTTTCTTGCTCTTTTCAAATGGCAATTTTCATTTCATGACTATTGAATATCTGTATTTTGAATAAGTAGAGTATTTGGTTTTATTGTATTTACATGAAAATAAATGCAATGTGGTTTAATCAAGTAAATTCATTGATTTAAGACATTATTTTCGGGCAGCTCCTGTGGCGCAGCGGTTTAGCACCGCCTGCAGCCCAGGGCGTGATCCTGGAGACCCTGGATCGAGTCCCACGTCGGGTTCCCTGCGTGGAGCCTGCTTCTCCCTCTGCCTGTGTGTCTGCCTTTCTCTGTGTGTGTGTGTCTCTATGAATGAATAAATAAAATCTTAAAAAAAAAAGACATTATTTTCAGTGGGAAGAGAGAGTAGATGAAATTGATATTTTTTGGTTCAAGTAGTTATGCTATTTTGTTAGACATTGGGAATCCCAAAGAAGTTCCCATTTTACTTATTCATAGGCTTCAATTGTCGTACTCTCTTCTAGTAGAAATTTAGAGTTTAATAATGCCTGTATAATAAATAAATAATAGACTGATGGAATTTATTTACACTTGAAAGTTTATTCTATTTTGACACTTTCCTCTGCCATCTGTTTTTTTTTTTTTTAATGGCAGATTTTGAATAGCTGTGATAGAAAAAATTTAAGTGTCAAAGCTTTTCAGCTTATGCTTTGGTAAAGCATTCTTTACAATAGGCAGTAGTGGAATTTATGAAAGAGACATATTTGTTTGGCAAGCCAAATTAGTCCCTTGCCATCCCTGGAGTTGGAAATCATTCATTTTTATGGGTTAAGTATTAAAAGTGATTGGTACATAGAGTATAACTTTTGAATCAGGTTTTTTTCGCATGCAACCTGTGGCTTTTCAAGTCTTCTTTAGTTTTGGTTTGAAAATATTGAGTAAGTTTATCAGTGCAGAGCATAAAGCCTTTTGGTAATTGCAAATACAAATCTAGAATTTATATGGAAAATTATTCTTTGTGATCCTTTGGTGATTTCAAGTGTAAATCTAGAGTCCTACAGTTGTAAATATCATTGGTTCCCAAACTTTATTCAGAAATTATTTCAACATATTTCTGCTTCTTGCTTTTTCTTTTACCTATTACTTATACTGATTTGCTTTCTAGTAGAAGTATAGATAAATTTTATTAATACCATGGAATTAACCTACTGTACAACTCCTGAGTCTCTTTTACTCATTAAAAAAAAATTTTTTTTTTGATGGCTAACACATAGCTCACTAGTTACACTGAATCAAAACACCTTGTACATGGTGGTATCCTTACAGTATTTTCACTCTTACAACCTTTGGAATTTATTTCAAAAAGTAATTGAGAAGATCAAGATACCAAACTATCCTTTTTTATATATAAGAACATAATAACATCTAGTTCTAAACCCTTCTGAGAGTTCAAGTTCTGTTTTTATCTGGGCTTTTATTTGTGTTAATTATTTTGCAGGCCCTTCGCAGGGTGGTCCAGGTCCTCAGTATCCTAACTACCCACAAGGACAAGGTCAGCAATACGGGGGTTATAGACCAACACAGCCTGGACCACCACAGCCGCCACAGCAGAGGCCTTACGGATATGACCAGGTAAGTTATTTGGCCAGTGATTGCCCCATTGTTTGTTCACTCATTAGGTTGTTTTCATCTGAAGGCTCATTTTTCCCTCCTCCTGTTCATAGAATATGAAAGTTAACAAAAAAATATTTACTTTTAAGTCTTTTTCATAAAATGCTAACACAGTTAATGATAGTTACTATAACATGTAAAACATATCTTACCTCTAGGCACCAGCATTCATTCATATTCATCCATATTCTCTTTCTCTCTGGTCTTTACCCAGGCATACTTCTTGTAGGTACTACAAACATCATCTCTTTTTTAAAGCCCCTAATTTCTCCTATCTCCCTCATGTTTATTGCTGACAACTATGCATTGACCTGTGGAAATGGGGAGTCTGTGCTTTTCGTAGCTCTCCTCTCCTCTTCACTTCAGCAGATCCACTACACCACCTCCACACCACTGAGATCCTTTCTCTTCCAATTCGTAATTACCTCCTGTCTCTGATGCCTCCTTTTGTATACATATCCATTCTCTAAAAATATTAATAATCTTTACTTCCTGTTATCTTTCCTTCTACTTTCTTATATATGTAGAGATGTATCTCATTCTAAGGTGACTATACGCTCTTGAACCTAGTATTTATTTAAGTTCCTTCTTTTTATCAGTAGACTTTTCAGACTTAATAATCTGTGCCACAGTCATTGTTTTGTGAATCTTGTTATTATAAATATTCTAAATTCTAATGAAAATTGTTTATTAAGTTGGCAGTTTCTTTAGATTGATTTTGGGATTGTCTAATGACTTTCTAGTCTGCTCCCTACTCAAGCTACCCAAAACAGGTTGATTTTTTTTGTAAGTTATGTTTCCAGCATCAATGTAGATTATCTGGTTTGAGGCACAACTCAGTGCAGTATTAATTAGAACTTGAGGCATGAGCAATTCTTTTATCAGTGCTCTCTCAAGCCTACAGCCGCCTTATACTGACACTTCCTATTTAAGTGATAAGAGGTATAAGAGACTTTAACTAAAAGGGTAAGGACAAATGAGTAATATTTTTGAAAATACACTAATACTAAATGAAAGGATTAGGCAGGAATATTTAAATTTTAAAAGAAATAAGTCTTGGCTAATGACTCAGGGCAAGATTCCTGAGCACAAGAGTTGGGCTCATTCTAATCTACAAGTTAACTTTTTAAAAAGTAAGCTTCTGGGGCACCTGGGTGGCTCAGTGGTTGAGCATCTGCCTTTGGCTCAGGGGGTGATTCTAGGGTACTGGGATTGAGTGCTGAATTGGGCTCCCCACAGGGAGCCTGTTTCTGCCTCTGCCTATGTCTGCCTCTCTCTCTGTGTCTCCCATGAATAAAAAAAATCTTTAGAAAAAAAAAAAGTGAGCTTCTGATCATTTATCCCCTCAGTCAACAAATACTTATTTTCTAGATGTGTTGGACACTGTATCATGTCCTAGAAGAATAAAGTAGACATGGTTCCCTATGGCTGGTAGAGCAATTTTTTTTTAAGATTTTATTTATGTATGTATATATTTATTTAGAGTGGGTGGAGGGGCAGAGTGAGAGAGAATCTCCAGCCAACTCTACACTGAGTGCAGAGCCTGATGCAGGGTGCAGTCGTCCCATGACTCTGATTTCATAACCTGAGCTGAAATCAAGCATTGGACCCTTAATCAACTAAGCCTAGTGGGCATCCAGGTGCCCTAGTGCAGCAATTAAATATCTTGATCTTTCTTGACTTCACTTTTGACATATTTGACACATGTTCTTATTTTCATTCTTTTTTTTTTTTCCTATTTTCATTCTTGGTCTTGTTTAGCTTTTCATTACTGTGCTTTTTTATTTCTCTTACACTTTAGTGACTCCTTCTTTATTTTTTCACTTGTTATCTTTGTTTTATCCAAATATCAATAAAGTGTTTTTCTTGGCCTCTCTATTTACCCTGCATTATATTTTCAGTATCTTTAGCTCACCCTTTGCAACTCATCTTTAGCTCTATTTTTTTCAGCTGTGTATGGAACATCTTTCTTTGGATGTCTTGCCATTTCTTTTAACTTTAGCATGTCATGGACTGAACTAACCATTTTCTCTCTAAATGACATATTTCTAAATCCCCTAAACTTAACATCGGTCATTAAGTAGATGTTTCTTAAGCAATATTATATACCAAATACCTAAGATCAGGGTACATTGGGAAATAAGATAGACATAAACTCTGCCTTTGTGAACTTAAGTCTACACGGGATCCAGACAAATATGCAGATGATATAATATAGTGTGAGAAGTATTTAGGTAAAGAAAGGCAAGATTTTTGTGGAAGTGGGCTCCTAACACAGATCATAGAAAAAATGTTCTTTGGGAAGTATTGTATTAATACGAGGACACAAGAATGAGTAGATACTAGGCAAGTAGACACAGAGGAGGGAAGGGTATTCTAGTCAGAAAGAATTGTATTCACAAAGGCATTAAGCATCTAGCAGTAAGATGTGTGGCTGATTAAAGGAGAAGCATGGGGAGGGAGAGGCAAGGTTGGAGAGAGAAATAAAGGTTCAGATTAGAAAGATTTATAAGCGGGGGTGCCTGGGTGATTCAGCGGTTGAGTGTCTGCCTTCAGCCCGGAGTGTGATCCTGGAGACCCAGGATCAAGTCCCACATCAGGTTCCCTGCATGGAGCTTGCTTCTCTCTCCCTGCCTCTCTCTATCTCTCATGAATAAATAAAATCAAGAAAGGAAAGGAAAGGAAAGAGGAAAGGAAAAAGGAAAGGAAAAAGGGAGGGGAGGGGAGGGGAGGGGGAGGGGAAAGGAAAGGAAAGGAAAAAGGAAAGGGGAAAGGAAAGGAAAGGGAGAAAGAAAGGAGGGAGGAGGGAGGGAGGGAGGAAGGAAGGAAGGAAGGAAGGAAGGAAGGAAGGAATGAAGGAAGGAAGGAAGGAGAAAGAAAGAAAAGAAAAGAAAGAAAGAAAAAGAAAGAAAGACTTATAAGCCATGTTAGAGGACTTGGGCTTCATCCAGACATCATTTGGAGCCTATAAAGGTTTTTAAATGATGTATGTAAAGTATTAGCTATGCCTGGCACTTGGTAAACTATGTGTTATTATGTACTATATATGATAGACATATGTTATGGTACCTCTTTTATTATGATTATTCCACCCCCTGAACTTCTTAGGAATTTGGGATGGTACTGTCTTAAAGACCCATGATGTTTGGATAGATGCCAGCCACATCTCCTTCCCCACTAGAAAAGGCTATGAGGAGGGGACCATCTTAGCTACTCTAGGGTTAGTAGTCTGCCCACAGTTATCATAGATTTCACCTTACCTGTATCCTCCAACCCAAAGGCTTGTTGGTCTTTTCATTTTAGGGAAAGTAGTTCACCTCTTCAAGGTAGTGAAGGGAATAGAAAACTAATACTGATTCTTATATCCAATAGTAATATAATTATAGTGTTGATTTAGGCAGATGACTCTTGTGGCAATGTGCAGGATGAATTAAAAGAGGGGGTAATTGAGAGAGAAATCCATGCTGGAGGCTGTTGTTTCTCCATCATTTTTTTCTATCTTAGTAAACAGCATCTTGATTCTTTCAGTTCCTCAGTCTAAAAACCTGGAGTCCTTTTGGCTCCTCTCTTTTGCAAATCAAACATCTTGTCAACCAGCAAGTCTCATCACTTTTTTCTTCAAAATATATCTATATCTAGCCATTTTTTTTACAATTCCTGCTCTTACCCAAGTCAAAGTTATAACGGTCACTCACCTGGACTTACTGTAGTATCTTCCCTTCTGGTCTTCTTACTTTCATCCTAGCTCCACTATAGGATATGCTCCACATAGGACCCAGAATAATCTTTTAAAAACATTAATCAGATGTTTTTAGAGCCACTGCTCAAAGCACTGTGGGTCTTAAAAAAGACTTCAAGTCTTAAGGTGAAGTCCAGACCTTATAATGACCTACAAAGCCCTCCATGACTCGTGCCACCCCTGCAGCTGTCCTACCACCTCATCTCTGCATTTATAGCTCCCTTCATTCAGTTTGCTTCAGTCAAATTGGCTTGTTTGCTGTTCCCATACACATTGAGCATATTTCTACCTCAGAACCTTTATATTTGCTGTACCCTTTACTGCCAAAACTCTTCCCCAATACTTTGGCTTCTTCACTTTCTTCAAATCTCTGATCTGTCACCGTGTCATATCAAGGAGTCCTTCACGGTCTACCTATCTAAAATAGTAACATCTGTGGGGTGCCTGGGTGGCTCAGTGGGTTGAGCATCTGACTTGATTTTGGCTCATGATCTCAAGGTTGTGAAATTGAGCCCTGTATTGGGGTCATTGTCTTCTCCTCCTCCCTCCTTCTGCCCCTCCCCCAGCTTGTACCCTCTCTCTAAAATCAATCAATCTTGAAAAATAGTAACGTCCTCCATTGCCTTGCTTTATAGTAGCTCCCCCTTACCCACAAAGGATACTTTCCAGTACCTTCAGTAGATGCCTAAAACCACAGGTAGTACTAAACTCAGTATATACTCTGTTTTTCCTATGCATATCTGATAAAGTTTAACTTATAATTATAAATTAAAATATAAGTTTATAAAATTAATTTATAACTTTATAAGAGATTAACAGAATAATAAAAGAACAATTATACAATATACTACAATAAAAGTTACACAAATGTGGTCTTTCTCTCAATGTCTTACTGCACTGTACTCACTTTTCTTATGATGATGTGGGCTGACAAAATGCTTGCGTGATGAGGTGTGAAGTGAGGGGAATGACATAAGCATTGTGATGTAGTGTTAGGCTGCTAGTGATCTTCTGATGATGTGTTAAGAGGATCTTCTGCTACTGGACCACAGTTGACCATGGATTGAAACTGAAACTTTAGAATGTAAACCATGGATTGGGACGGGGTGGGGGGGGGGGACTACTGTATTTCTTCATCCTTCTTATTGAAACAACTTCTTTTTATATATATATATATATTTATTTGAGAGAGCACGCAGGGGGAGAGGGGACAGGAGAGGGA